ATGACGACGAGGAGCTCTGAGCCAACATAGCGCGTTTCAGTCTGGGACGCTAGAAGATTTCTGCAGTCAACGTTTCGGTCCGTCACGTGGAAAATTGGCTGAAATGTCTCTTGGTGGCTTTGCTTGCAGGAGAAGTTTGAAGGCATTTGCTATAAGAAGTGTTCGATTCTTACCGATGGCACCTCAGCTTATTAGAGACGGACTCACAGCATGGGTGTACAGCATTTTTGTGCTTCATGAGCCCCTAAGAGCCGATTTATGTTTTTCATGGAAGTTACTGTATGTGGGTTGCAGGCTAGGTTGATGGCATCCACTGTTGATTGCTCGTTTGGGACCAATCAGCCACCGTGCAAACAAGGTACACACAATATCAGAACTACCGCCTTCACCTGCTGCGCGGCAGAGAAGATTGAGGAGAGATTTGCACATTCTGCAAGTTTGCTATAGGACAAAAAGTGTGTAGCTTCAAGCCCTCCCGAAAACCTGAAAGCGCTTTCATAGGTTATGAAAGTGCTGTTATCACACTGCCGGCACAATCTAGCTGCCCGAACTGCAGTCATGGCAATCCACAGTCTCCGGCTATGAACGTGCCAACGGTTGCCCTGTCGAAGTGTAATTGCCATCAGCATGCAAGATGACCTCCAAACTAGCCAAAGAGCCGATTTTGGTTGAAGGTTCATGCTTTGTTGGGTTTCATCGCGATCGCTGCTTTGCTCCTGGGGCGAATTGCGAAGCACACTGCTTTGGTTGGAACTCGGATTGGTTTTCGCTCCGGCCCAGTTCCATGAACGATTGATTGTTGCCTTTGCCGAGGGTGCCATATCCACTCTTGGGGTTATCCGATTATCACAGCGAACTGTCAAGATCGTTTTGGTGACTTGCTTCACGCACGATTTGGTGCCCAAGGGCGAAAGGTGGCATGCGCCGCCCTGTAGTGGCAAGGAGAATGAGCTTGTCTGGCATGGAAGGTGACTGAGTGGGATCTTCCACTGGTTGAAGCTCACTGTTAAGGAGGCATAGATCACCTGCCGGTCACGCCACTTCCTTGACTGACGGCGAGATCGGTTGGGGCTTGGGGAGGATGTCGGTTTGTTGGAGTCCCCCTTCCCACGCTGTGGTTGTGGGATTGATTGAACATCAGGGTTTGAGTTGTTGTTTTGGCAGCTTTTTCGGTTTAGGGCTTGGGTTTAGGCAGAGTGTCCCCCCCCCCCCCCCCCCCGCCCGGTTGTTTTTCTTTCAGGTTTGGGTTTGTGTTAGGGTTAAATCAAGGGACCAAGGGCGAGGGGGTTTAGGGCTTAAGTTCAAGGTTTAGTGTGCAGATAGTTAAGGGTTGACGGTTCATAACCCTTGAGGATTGGGTGTTTTTTGCCGAGGGCTCGCGGCGAATGGGGGGTGGCGAATTGGGGTCATTTAGGGATGTATTGCATGAGTATATACATCGCACATATGTATATATATACATATATAATCATATCTATGTAATACACCTACACACATGTGTGTGTTTACACTTCACTTGTAGCCATTTGGTTCTGTGTTGCCATGCAGGATGAACATATATTCGCCCAGTGTGTTCGTGAGGCAAATTTCTAGCAATAGTTTAATTTGTTTGTTTATACTTTACGAACCATAGGTTTAGTTTTTGTTCAGCTAGCTTAATTACTTTGTTAATTATTTTTCAAAGACCCAGGCGAAGATGAGATGCATGGAGTAATATATGCATATATATATACATGTACATAGGAAAGCTTCTCTGTATGAAAAAAGACTTCAATCCTCTGGAAAGGTGAACTGAAAATTGGCATCAAGCACTTCATAGCACTTCATCCTCAAAATGACCTAGGTTTTAATCATTTCAGCGCTAGTTCAATAGCATAAGACATCGACACCGAAACGATAGAGAAGCCTGACGTCAACGATTTTGACAGGGCCCGTGCTGCGCGTGATCGGTCGCATGAGGTTTCATGAGGTTCCCTACAGCTACGCCTACAGCTACATGTTGTTGGATGTTGTCGGCTTTTGGGCTGTGATGGGCCGTAGTTAAGCAACATGCTCGTCAACGTTCGTTAACATATCGCCGAATTGGTGTTGTCTGGTGTGTGGGAAGATGCGGCAAGTTTCCGAGCTGCGGGTTGAGTTTCCGTTTCTGTGCATGGCTCTTGGTGACAGATGCAGGTGAACGTGCAAATCCTGTCATGCTACACTTTGCACCACGGTGCCAGGACTGCGGCTTCAGCAACCAGGAAGTGCTGGGCCCCAGCCGGCTGCTGCATCTCCAGGGACACCACAGAGCTACAGATCTGCTGGAGTGATCATGTAAATGTTATGTAAATGTTATGTAATTCTTAGTATGTCTCGCCAATGTGTATCCCAACTTCCCTTTGCTCATGCTGGAATTGCGCAAAGTCGGCACTGAAATCCATTGCTTGGGCTTTCATCGCAGGCTTGGCGAGAGGGGGGCGGCGGGGAGGGCCGGCAGTCCTCCGCATCGAAGTTCCTCGTAGCGCGGTACGCGATGGTACGCGCGTGGCCTGGGGGGGGGGGGGGGGAGTGTTTGGGGAGGTGTGTGCTTGCATGAGATTTCCCTAGACCGTGCTCAACAGCTTGTGCGCTTCTCGGCCCCACACTCGTTGTGGTAGCGCAACCGTCGCGCCACACAGAAGGATGCGCGCACCATCCACAACCACTGGATCTTCGCCTTCAAGGCACGGTGTACACCGTGCGCGCTGTGAAGGATGCTAAACTCCAGGGTCTAGCAAGGCGTGTGTTTCATCGCTGCTCCACAGTGAGTTTGGAATGTTTGGAAGTGTCGGAACACTTCCAAACTGGCGGGCAGGAGGAGTTGAGGACGGGGGCGAGGATGTTTGATATTGTTTGATCTGTTTTGACTTCATGTTGCTCGTTTGGGTACGGGGTCAGGAAGGTGTGGGGGGGGGCGGGGGGATGTCACCTGCACCACCTTTGTTTTGTAAAGAACAGCCTTGCCACGACGTAGATGCATGCTCCACGACTCGGCGCTTTCCGTTTGGGCCGTACTGGTTTGCCGAGAGAGCAACGGCGCAAATCCAAACCATTTGCTCACAAAGCAAGACAAAGCCATCTTCGACACGTCAGAACATGACCGGAGACATGGGTCACACCATTGTCTCGAGTGGTGAGCTGCCACACTGTCACATACAGCCAATGCCCAGGTGAAGATGGGGATCTGCGACGGATTTGACGTGGCTGGGAACATCAACGGCCAAGAAGGTGCTGTCAGAGATTCTTATTGAAGAGACATCCACTTGACCCGGCCGCAAAATCGGCACCCTTCAGTGCCGACACCTTGGCCAGCTTTGGAATGCTTTGTTTGTGCAGGCACCTCAAGTGAGGGTTGAACCGTTGAGTCGGATGCCACAGGGTTGTGCAGCACTGTCCGTTGCAGTTGAAGCATAATCATGCTGACCGAGCCAGAGCTTGAGCACCCTGAACTTTGGAAGTTTTGCACATCAGCATGTGGATTCCCCGCACTGCGTGCTGCATTGTGCTGCGGAAGTCGAAGTTGCAGAGACAAGACAGCAATGTCAAGTCACTATTGCTAAGCCTAAGGAATGTTAGACTAGCACAACATGAAAACCGTAAATCTTTGAAGGCGAACACCGCTGACCTCAGCGCAGGTGCCTGCCCGCACAACAAGGGCAACTGCTATGCAAACGAGGCCGGACATCCATGAGGGTCGTGAGGTGACGAGCCAAAGTCACAATGCAGTTGGGGGATGCGGATCAATATGGATCAATCAAAAACCCAGAATCTGGCCAACGACCCAGAAACTGCGAATCAGAAGCTAGCCGCGATTTAATTAGCAACTGCAAATCAGAAACTGCAATTCAGAAGCCGCGAATCAAAGACTAAGGCGAGTCAGAAACATTCAGAAACCGCGCATCAGAACCCCCGACGAATCACAGACTGTGCATCAGAAACCAGCGCGAACAGTCAGAAGCCTGCTCGAATCGGGTACTCCACACCTCAGCCCGGGGTTGCCGGGAAGGAGTGGGTTAATCGCGTGCCGGTTGCCAACGCATGAAAAACGAACTTGCTCGAACAAGAGAATCCACGCTTCACAAGCTGGCGTGGGGCTGAGGGGGTAAATGCGTCCGGTTTGGAGGAGCAGCGATTCCTAATGCAGCTGTGCTTATCCGCGATACTATTTGTACAATCCAGCTCTTGCCGTTACTCAGTTTCCAAATTCCCGACTTCCGAATCATCCCCTTACTGGTTTCCGAACCATCCGATTCCAGCTTCTGATTCAGCCGTTTTAAGCGGTTTCCGATCGGCCTTTTCCTGGTTACCGATTTTTCCCTTCCCGCTTTCTGAGCCGTCCTGGTGATTGTTTCGTCGCCCTGGGGATCCGGGGATATCTACGGGTCAGGTGCTGGAATATGCTGGAATGCTCCCTAACCGCCTTTTCAGGAGCTTTTCCTCGGCCAGTGCTACAAAAAGCCGGGGGCCTCAAGATGTGTGAAATGGTAGAAGAGTCCGGACATCAATAGCTTATGCATTGTACACGCCATGCACCTTAGGTGGTACGAGTACTAGTTTTGAGGTAATACCGTAATACCTCTATGTGCACATGGTAGCTGGCGACTCTGGAAGATGTCTTGGCGCGGTGCAACGATCCACAACAACTACAACCCTATAGGCTCACCCGGATGGCAAATAATCTGCCCGGCTGAACTCCGTGCAGTTCCCATGTTCCTAGACGCAGGCAGCTCCCTTGCCAGCTCTTGGGCCAGATGACAAGTAATTGATCGAGATGGTCAAGCGTACATCTAGGGGACGCTGCACTCACACTTGATGCCGAGGTGCAGCGTGCTCACCGAGGGTGTGTATCACAATCGGATCTCATCCTTCTCGTGTTGCAAGGCCGGCGGGCTGCCATGCGCTGCAGATTGTCAATATAGCACACCATGCATGATGCTGCAATACTGAGCTTCGTTCAGGTCTCTGGTTGCTGTAGTCAGTCTATGTCCATGGTTGCCATGCTGCCGCAGAATGCCCAGCCATGGATAAATAGAACTGCAACACAGCTGGTGCCCTCCAATACTTTCATCATCTACTTGGCTTGCATCAATTGTGCACGACCGCCTGTCAGAAAGACAGCTACATGGAGTGCAATCCATTCGCTTTTGTTGACTCGCAAGTCAAGAGCGACCCCACGCCTGCGCCTCAGATGCTTTGCTCGACCGCATTGGCCTCTGCCACGTACAAGTCATGCTGGCCTCGCTGTTACAGCTTGCGTTCAGGTTTAATGTTGGTGGCGAGCCGGGTAGTGTGCCAGCTTCTCAGTGTCATTGTTACGCAAGACTTACATGCACCGGCACACGAGCGTTCGGAATGATTTGCTGGCTTTAGAACAAACTTAGGCTAGATCTTTAACACTCCGAGCCATCGTGCCACAAAATTCACCATGAGCTAGTTTCGTACTTGCTGAGGCTGTGAGAGCCGTTCTACGCTATATTCTGCTTTAATCACCACAGTGGTGAAGCCAGAGCCAGGGTGCACACATCTCCAGTATCTTGCCTCCCCCCCCCCTTCCCCCTCCCCCCCCTCCCCCTCCTCCCCCTCCCCCTTCCCCCCCTCCCCCCCCCACCCCTCGGCCCCTCCGCCCCTTCCCCCCCCTATATGCCCCGCCGCAGGCTTTGCATTGTCTAGCGTTCGTGGTTCGATCTCAAGTCTGCTGATGCTATTCTCAGGCCACACTATCCCGTCAAGTCGCTTGACGAGTCGTGAGGCTCGGCAAGCGAGTCGCTATGAGCCATCGGTACCGAGACCGCAGTCACAAGGCTGGCCCGTTTTGTTCTTCTTGCTAAAGTCATTCCGAACGAAACTTGGGCACTCTTTTTGTTCAGTACGCGAAATAAGGGTACGTATAGTTTCGTGAAGCAGAAAACTGGTCATGTTTTTTATCATTCTCGGATCTCTTCATTTTCTGTTCTGGGCGGGCATTGATGAGCAATGCGACTGCAACAAACGGCTTGCGCAGATCGTGCATATGAGGTGATGGCACAAAACATTCAGCAATGGATCGAACTGATTTTTTTTGCTGGATAATATTGGAGAATGCTGGAGATCCAAGATGTTTGTGCCCTACGTAAGAGAATTCCTTGGCGGCCAGCAAGTCCACCAACTGGCCAGGCTTCCTTCGAAAGCATTACCGGGCGGTCGAGACGATCAGTACATGCCTCAAGACTCTGAGGCACAGCGGACAGAGCAAACCTGTGGAGATCGGAAATCTTGAAACAATTCCGAAAGTGTGTTTTGGTGAGTCTGGCAAAGCCCTGGCGCAGAGCCTAATTCGTGCAAGCAGGAGGTATCGACAACACAGAAAGTCTGACACACAGTGACACACACAGTGACACACAGTGACACAGTGACATGGTCAGTACTCTGGTACACTCTGGTTGGGGTGGGACAGCTGGGCTTCAGAGATGTGAATGGATGTGAATGGAGCTGGGAGCGGAAGCCCTTGCATCCATTAATGAGGGCTGCCTTGTACAGTGCAACGCACAGCAGCAATCTATCCAGACATGCGAGTGATGTTCATGAAGTCTGGGAGCTTGTCATGTGCACACAAACATGAGCTTTGCAGCTCTGCAGCAGACAGAGCACGCAGTATTGTTGCAGAGAGCACGTGGAGAGAGTGGAGAGAACATGGCACTCGGCACAAAATCATTCAGATAGCACTACACTAGCACCTCTATCGACACTTAGGTTTACACCAGCATTTGGTGGCATCTGCAACACTTGTGCAAGACATTCGGCATTCACAACATACTGGGGTAACAACAGCACTATTCTGCATTTTCCAGCAAACCCCCACAACAATCCCCCACACCAATTTTGCACCACCCATATGGCACTGCAAGCATACACTTCTACATCATCATTCTCCTCTTCCTCTTCTTCTCGCTCCAGTCCGAGGCAGGTTGGCATTCATTAACCAGAATAAGTGTGCCTATGTGTATGTGTATCAAGCGTGCACGCATGCCACTTTGGCATACGCAGCTGCTCCCTGAGTCCACTGCCCGATCCTCAGGCAATATGTGGAACAGACAAGCGCCATGACACGACGTTGTGTTCCATAGTCTTATCCCTCGACATGTCGACAATGTTGATGCTGCTGCCGGTTCAGAACTGGCAAGAGTGGGGCAGCCTCGGTCACGTATGTCACGTTTGTAATGGTGGGCGACTTGTGGAGCATGGAGAGCTGAGAGAGCTGCAGCAGTATTGGATCGAAGGGGTGCAGCTCTCGCCATTGGCTAGCGTGGTCCTCCGACAAAAAGGAAGTCACAGTAGGGCTGCAGCATGGATATGGAGCTAGATGTTGTGAGCACGGAGGAGTGGGCCAAGACGCTTCTCTCAATATAGACCTGCTGCAGTTGGCCTGTAAGAAGTTGAGCCAGACGATGCTGGCTTGAAGATGGTGCGCATCTACTCACAGTGGCAATGATGCCTCGGTTCTCACGCTTGAATTAGCAGGAGTCTAGAAATGTCTCTCTGATTATCTCTTGATGTCTTCCCCTGTCGAAGCCATTCTGTCGGCGGCTCAGGACCTTGTTGCATCTGTGTTTCTGCAGCTGGGTCGGCAAGATGTTTCAATATAGAGTTTAGACAGAGTATAGCTGCATTCAGCGAGCATGCCTCTGCCTTAGGATGCAAGCATTCCCAGCCAGGTATGGTCTTGGGATGGACGAACAGCATCATGATGTTCAGGCGTGACCTATCGAGATTTCGTGCATCGTGAAGCTGGGCTTTTCCGCATTGCGCGCATTGCACAATTTAAGCCTTGAGCCGCTCGCTTCTGTGCTATTTGAAGCTGTTTCCTGTCATGGAAGGTTCCGCATCTTTGCAACGATGATGGTAGGTGCGCCGCTCTGCATTTGGTGGCAAGGTGCTGTTGTTTCTGCACGTTGTATCACCAGGCAACACCATTCTTATGGGACACCTGGCTGATCTATGATTTGTTGCCAGAGGAAACCTCTACCGAAAACACGTCAAGTGCTGGCCAACGTTGCGAGGAGTGTCCTTGGCATGCCAGGAAGGCTTGGTGGTGAGACCTGGCTCATCTGTGCTTTTTTGACATGCGAGCGAAATCGCAAGTCAGAGACATCGCTACAGTAGCGATAGTCACGTCCTTTAGGTTTGCTGGATTGCCCTCGCCAGTTCAGGTTGCAACCTGCAACAAGCACGCATGAGCACACTGCCAAAGACCTCCTTCGTTCAAGATGCCATGACATATCATGTCAAGTGTTGGCCGATGCTATGTCCCTCCTCAAGCCCGGCTCTACGGTCTTTACTCCTTGGTTCCCTTTTGTCATTGTCACATGTTGGCCCTCCGCTCTTGTCAAAAGGAAAGCGCAAAACTTGAGTTCCTGCACATTAGGCTGCGACTCAGAGTCTAGGGCATCACCGCGACAAGCCCTCCAAGTGTGTATGGTGTATATTTGTGTATGCAAAACAAGGCAAGGCCATGCAAGGCCCAGGCAGGCAGGCGGACACTCCCACGTTCAACGCTTCATACGCTTAATTGAACTCACCGACTATGTGGGAAATTCACGTTCGGCTTAGCAAACCAGTACTAGGCCTCATCGCTATTGTACAGAATCACCTCTGTACTCTCTCCTTCAATATGATAGATACTGCTGCAAGAGATGTGCGAAACCCTCAACGATCCAGGTACCGAAAAGGTGTAAGGCGTGTGAAGGTCATGTCTTTCAGTCGTCCTTTCAAGCGGCTGTTTGTTCACATGTTCGAACCCATGACTTACTCAGAGCTACATGGCATTGCTGAGGACGCCTGATGAGATCAAGCTTTGTCCTGCTGAGTTTCCGCCACCACCTGAGCTAAGACGAGATGTCGTTAGGGTGGCAGTGCCGCGGTGCACTCAACTTCATGACAGTCCTGCCAAGACCCCTTCTGTTGCCTACAGAAGTTGTTCAACCTTCAGCAACGGCTTGTGGCCGAGGCCTCGGTACTACGCTGAACTCATCCTTCTTTTTGTTTGCGGTGCGCCGCCTGACTGCACAATATGCACCGCTCATGCGTACAGTGAAGAGCGCAAAACATGTTTTCGTTTGGAACAGGCAGTGCGACCGCAGACTAATTATTGTGAACCTTCACGGGCTGTGTCTGTGTGCGTGTGGGTGTGTGTGTGTGTGCTTTGAGTATAGAATGACGCATCTAGCTATCAAGGGGCTCGTCTCGTTGTTGTTTTGGCTATTTAGGTTGTATTGAGCTCAGCTAAGCTGAGGTTCTTTCACGGGCTGATGGAGAATCTTGGACATCAGATGGACTGAGTGACTGGCTGGCTTTTAAAGCATGACGTCCATATGTGACAGTGAGGAAAGCTCATGGCTGGACACCGCGAGCCTTTGCACCAATGATCGTCCTGGCATCCTGGCATGACTTGGTTGAGAAGTTTCCGAGTCTTGCAAGTTTTTAGCTAATGAGAGAGCCCAGAGAACTGAAACGATCGGCACTGAGTGGGAGTGACCTGTGAGACCTTAGGTGATTGTTGTGGAAGAAATTCGAGAGCGCTGCTTTGGATCCAGCTCGACATCTGCTCATGATGACAAGTACTATGCCTATCTGCTGCTCGGCAGGGCATGTGTGACGAAGACTGGTGTGAAGTATTGGGAAATGAAGGCCTTCGAATGATGGTAGGGATCAGCAGGGCTCACATTCCATAGCTCCCCGCTTGCTGATTGCTCTTGAGCTCTTGCCGTGGTATTTGGTAGAGGCATTTGTGCGGTGGACGGGGTTGAAGGTGCTGGCAGCGTGGGCACCATCTCTACATGCCTCCATCGTGAGAAACGCAACAGAGTCCGAACCCTGCATGCCCTCGCAGTTGAAAGCGTTCCGGCACGGCAAGCAGTTCTTGGGATCTGAATCAAGGATCATTGTCGCAAACAGCTGGCTGCCCCTGACATGATCCGCAAATTAATCAACCATGACAGCATCAGACACGCTCACAATCTTCAAACTTGCAGCTGCAGCAATGTTCACTGAATTACATTTCGCAAACACCCCCTCCCCTGCCTCACAGGAGAATATTGATTTGAGGTCAGCGGGTACGGTGTGCGCAGAGCGGGCCTGCAAATCTTGCAGTTACTGGAACGCAAGATCTGAAAGAAAGTGATGAAAAGTTGCGGCAGCTCAGACCTGAGGCTGGCACCCATCTTCGGCGTCACTGGTTCCATCTCGATGAAATGTGGACTGCAAGGCGCCCTGGGAGAAGCGAAGGAGAAGACAGCGGCATAGCATGGCACAGCGGTTTGCAGGCGATCATTGCTTCCTGCATAGTCTCCAAATGGCTCGAGTTTTGTCAACATCTCTTTGAGCTCTTCTTGCCTCACTTTGTTTCACTTTGCTTGAGCCTAGTTGCTCATCTTGGAGGCGTGCCCTGGGCAGCCTCTGGCACCATGGCTGGTTCATGCTTCAGTTCATGCTGCAGTTTATGCTGGTTCATGACCGCGGCTCGTACTGTGCAGAAGGACGATTTCGCGCACCATCAGAAAGCGGCACCCTCCAAACTCACTAACGCAGGGGCGCTGGCAGGCACCCTCAACATTCCACCAACACTCAGCGGAACTAGCGGGCGCCGAGCCTGCTGGATGGTTGACAACTTGACTCCCTGCCACGGATCGAAATTAGGGGTGTCTGCCACCCGAGCTGGGAAAGCGGCCACGCTCAAAAGCTGCAACCCCTCTTACATCCCCTTGCGAAGGTTGGCTGAACAGTTGTCACTTATCAGCTTTCCCCTACACCGACGCTCTTGGGGACCCATGGGGGGTTCGACCACCGAGCTTGAGTAGCCGGCCATGCACCGGCATGCATAGCAATTCTGAAGCTGTGCAGCTTTTGCGAATCCACGAACCACACGGCAGGAGGGTCCAGGAAACATTGAAACTGAAACGCCGAAAATAAACCACGCGCCAACATGACAAAATTGATGCGCCGACATGGGCAATTCCTTGCAGGAGGACGGACAGACGTGCAGGATTCCAAGGGTGTTGTTGCAGAAACCTCGCCGCCGACACAGCTTTGCAATGGTTTGCATCACCCAGCAAGACAAGATAATGATTGCAGGGAGGTTCACGACGTCGGCATTTGCTCTCGAGCGTCTTTGACTGCACGGCATGCTCCCGGATGGAACGTTGCAAAAACTTCCCAGGGGCATCATCTTCACGTTGACGAATGTAGTCTATACATGTCTATACCGTATGACTTGAGTTGCCCTGTGGTCCGCATTGTCCTGACTCATCACTTCAGGAAACATGCTCAGTGCCGCTTACCATTTTGCGACTTGTCGCAGATATGGTGTTCTTGCCCATGGCGGCCAGTGGTCGATGAAACTGATAAAGTTATCTAACGTCTACGTCGCAGGCCTTGCTAAAGGACCTACCGCAAGCTGAACAGCCTGTGCTTTTTGTATGCTTTTTGTCTGCGTCTTCAAGACCTGAGATGAGCAGCGGCCAGGCTAGCAGCATATCATTTAGAGCTACGGGGTGCAGTCCGGGTTCAGCTGAGGCACATTACCTCCAAGGCTTTGCCGCTGAGGACTGCAAAGTTGAGCTCGAGTAGCACCATTTCAAGGCTCACTCTGCCTCAGCCGAAAATTCGCACTTCCTTGCACGCAAGCCATGCCGCTTATGTGCATGAACTTGTGTGCGCGTGCTTGCCGCTGCCTACTCCATGTTTCGCATACTCTTCCTCGTAGTTGCGAGATGTGATATCGATTGAGGACCTGAAGAAGGCATTGATCCCGTTCGGCATGTGGGTGCACCTCAATGGCAAGAAGAGCTGCGTTGACTTGCTGTGTTGATGACTTTGGCGGTGCTGAGCTGTACATGTTCTCTCTTTCGCAGAAATGAGCTCCAGCCAGGTTCTTTTTCATCGGGGTATTCCTCGGAAACTCTCACCACAGCAGGCTCACGAACAGACTCAATAAACGCAATAGAATAGACGTCTTTGTTTGACCGCAGCTCGCGAAAGGTTGTCGGCTCCACTCCACTGCCTGACGAGCATGTTGAGAAACCAGCTGCCATGCACGCACGATCAATTGCAGGTTCAGCCTCATTTGCATCTCTGTTGCTTCCTGTCAGCATTAATGCCAGTAAGATTTTAATGGATGTTGCTCGATGCTGGGTACTTTATCGGATGAAAAGACTGGCCCTGAATCTGGACAAAGGCCCAGGGAAGGGTTGGCAAGAGGCAAGGGGATCACCAACACTTACAAGGCACTGGCGCTGCTCTTCCTGGCCATGAGTGCACCTTGACGGACACTCAAGCACGAGGTTGTCGATGATGTCGTCAGTTACCTGCAGTGGTTTTCTTGAGTACGCTCGCGAATTTCGCTTAACATCCAGGTTTACACTCCCGAGGGAGCCATCTTGCCGACTGTGCGCACACCGAAGAGCTGAGGTGGTTCTGCCCAAGAAGAAGAGACAATTGGGGCCTGCATTCGCAGATCCCTGACTTGGGAGGAGGTCTCTTGGTATCTCGTGGCCGCTCAGTTGTACGTACATTTGCTGGCTGCATTTGCCGAGACTAGCAAGAGTTACCGAGTAACTTTGGTATGCCTGGACTCGGACGCCTTAAACATACGGTATCCCCATCATGTGTCATATCTGAAGCTTGTAACTGAAGGCGCGTGCAGCAATGCTTCTGACGCGGCTGCCCAAGCGCAGCCTGACCTGCTTCGATCGGTTGTTGAGCACAAAGCTAATATGTGCAAGACGGTGGGCAGTTGATTTAGAGTAAGCCGCGCCAACGAGCGTGGCAGATCTGCAGACGTAAGATTGCTGAGTGGACGGGAAAGGAGCAAAAAGCTATAAGTGAGTCAAAATGAGTAGTGCGACTCTTGTGATGAGTTTCCAAGTCGAGTGGAGTTGTGCCTTGTTGCGCCAAGACTCGCCGATGAGCGTCATTCCAAGCACCGCCACTGTCGTTGCCACTGAGTATCATTGTAAAATGGGGTGTGAACGCGCTGTCACCTGCAGCAGATGTTGTGCCAGTTATGCAGGCGGTAGAAGAGTAGTCTACAGCAGGCCACGAGACAAGCAGATCTGGGGTATGATGCTGGCGAGGGTGTTGGATCTTGTTTCGGCCACGTTGTCAGCTGTCAGCATTTCTCAAAGTTGTCAAGCCGCGTCGCCATGGAAAATGGTATCAGCATTGCATCGGCCAAGGCTGCTTGCGGTCGGGTACCTGGTGTGAGTCCCGATTAGCATGCTTATTGCACCATATTGCACCACCATCTTGCAAACATTTGCGAACCGCGCTGGTGTCCGTGTTACAGCTCAAGCCAGCTGCGGAAATATGCTGCGCAGCCATGGCAAGCGATCCCCGAGCCAAAGGAGCAGAGGAGCGTTGCCGCATTGCTCGACTTAAACAGTCAACTGACTACAGTAAGACGCACAGACGAATGCTGAACCGTCCTGCAGAACAGGCGATGTTTGGTGGGAGCTCTAGTGTTTTTGCGCTTCGGACTCTCATCGGATGCCACAGTTTTGGGACGTTTCGAGTCAATGGCAATGCATGTTTGCTTCTGTGCGGGCTGCAAAAAATGCCGCTACTTTGGGAGAACTTGTCTTGCAGCATGGTCTTTTCATTGTCCTGTGCTGCATAGCCGTTGTTGATCTGTTTTCGGGAGGATCTACAATTTGAAAAATGCCTCGGCCGCGGATATTTCGGAGAGGCCCGGGCCCGGGTGTTTGGCAGTAGGCGGAGTGAAGCACAGCAACGTCAAGGAAATGCTGTTCATACAGCTTAACTTGGCGGCTACGGTCGCACCAGAGTCACACTGCTGCAGGATGTTGATGGCAATGGGCAGTGTTGGTAGGGCTGCGCAATAGGTCTGGAATGTTGGCCACCTCGCTCCTCACAGGTCTGGCAAGCACAGACCAAAAGCGATCGCAAAGCTGTCGCTGTAAAGAAGGCTCCTGATGCTCTTGTGGACCAGTCTTGGAACAAGAGCCTTCGGTGGTGCACAGGATATACAGTGTCGCATATGAATCAGACAAAGGCAGCAATTGCATGGACAGGTCCGGCTGCAGCTGATTCTGGAGAATCAGTTGCTTGATCAGCTGAAGCGCGACTTGGTGCAGCCCGTCAATTCTGTGTCCCATCACGGGTTCAAGGGGCTCATGGGTGCAGCTGGTGCAGCTCAGGCGAGATCAATATCCTCTACTCTTTGCAGCATCCGCGCATCGTGAGGCCTGGCTTTTCCAATGCTTATGTAGTTTTCGCGGTCGGAGGCCAAGTTCCGATGTCGTCAGGGTCATGAGGAGCTGACACGGGTAGTGACCAGAACCATCGTCGATCCTTGTCAGTGAAGCCACAACTTTTGGCAGCTCGAGAACTCTAGAGTCATCAAGTAGCTTGTGGCTGCGTGTCACGGGATATTCGCATACGTCCTTTGACTACCCGTTTGTGGCTTCGTGAGTTATTGCCACTGGCTGCTACGTCAACACTACATGTGAAACACTGTTTGAGCTTGCATCTTTCCTTGGCTTTTGAGCAGCCAGGTGTAACAGGGTAGAGTGCAACACAAAGTTGTTTGTGACTAGAGCCTCTGATGTCACACGGTACGTGGATCTCGCATGGCGGGACCACAAACTCAGCCCACTGGTTTAATGGGCCAAAGAGGTTGCTTTTGCTCAGTTGCAGACAGATCCCAACACCCCAACGCATTGCAGGTCGGCAATGCAAACTGCATAGTTTGCTCATTCCTGGGCTGTCACATCAGGCTTTTCTTCCACTTTGAGGACAAGTACTTCGTGCTTCTAGGCAAAATGGTGTGTTACATGACTGGGTGCACTAGCTTTTCTGCGCTTCCGCTGCGCTTTGCAAGCGATGCAGCTTGTGCGAATGTCAGGTATTTGGGCATGGAGTTCTGCATTGGCGCCGAAGCTGATTTCGACTAGTCACAAGTTGGCACACGCCTACAGCATGAAGCCACAGACCACATCAAGCCTGCGCAGCGCAGCAAAGCCAAGCAACATTAGCCCATGAAACCTTTCTTGCTTTGCCGAGGTGGAAGCTTATTTGACAAGCTGCAAAAGTCGGAGAAGTTTTCCTGTCAACGTCCGAGGCCAAGCTTAGCAGCGCAAAGAGGTGGGTGCACTGTCCCAGCATGAAACTGAGTTGACATACTCGTACCAGCTCGTACCATCGTGGTCTCATAATGCTGGAGATGACATGAACCTCTGCAAGGTCGGCGTGCTCTTTGCCTAACATGTCCCAACATCTGTCGTATGAGCTGGCACACACAAACAAATGCCAAGCTTCCCAGGGCACACACTCCTCAAATCTCCGAAGCGGGGGCAATGTGGCAGAGAGCCGCCTTTTAAATGTGCCAGCCGAGGTGCTGCAAACTACTTCCTGCAGACGTTTCTTTGCTCAAGATTCGCGATGATGACATGTCTTGGCCCGAGATTTCCCTCTTAGGTGTGAGGCGCTGGACTACTTGCACCACCTGCCGGACAAGGTGTTCTACAGATGATCATAAGAATCCGTGACATACCTGCGCCCGCGGTACTCATCGAGGGATTCGGTTAGGCTTGCAGTCGTCCTGCGCTACCTCCGGAGTCCAGAGCTAGATTGGGGCATCTATCCAGTGACGGGCTACGCAAAGTTATCTCGACACAGTGTTTCACAGAGTGGCACACAATGAAAGATAGTTTCCCCGTGTTGAGTGCCTTGTTTGCTGAACTCAGAAATGCCTCAGTTTGCTTCGATCCCTGCAAGACACGGCAGGAACCCTGAACCCTGCCTATACCTTGGAACCTTCCAGCGAGAAGCCTCCCCCCTGGAAACGATGCCACGAAACAGGTGATACATCGGGACATCAAGCCTGAGAACATACTGCTTGCCCCATGTCATGCCATCAGGTGGTCATAGTCTGCCGAGTCTAGGTTTCCCCTTTTTTTTAAAATTGGCAACCCTTGAGCATCCTTGCCTAATATGTTGCCATAAGGATGCCAACGATTCCGCTAAGCTGGCGGATTTCGGTTGGGCAAATCTGTTGGAGCAGGCCTGCTCGCAAAGCTTTCACTGTGCGCAGTCGTTGGCGAGTTTATTTGCCGAGCCGATGTTTGACAGGACAAGCGGCGCACTTTCTGCGGCACGTTGGACTATCTAGCTCCTGCTCCTCGGCAGTTGACTTAACTCTACCGTAACCGGCGACATCTGAACAAAGCGTGACGACCCAGTCAAGTATTGTCCAGCATTCGAATTCACAGCACCATACAGCACTCACCTTGACCACTTGGTGACGTTGGGCAGTTTGGGTGTGCTTGGATGATCCCGTACTGCAGCACAGCACAGCATTTGTTTTTTCTGCGGGGCACTGGTTGTCGCGCTTCTGCTTCGTGCCTAGGAGATGATTCGGGGTACTGGCCATGACGAGAGCTCTTACCCCAGACAGCTCTGGCAATCGAAGTGTTTGCTGCGGCGAGTGCTGTCGATCAAGTACGCAGTCAGCCGAAGATACTTGAGAATTATTGAAGAGACATCTCCGTATCCTGCTCGGAATCTGTTGGAACATGCCGGCACAGATTCGGCAGTCTGATTTGCTACTGCAAAGGTGTGGACATGTGGACTATGGGTGTTTTGCCGCTTGGTGAAGTTGACATGGTTGACCATCACTTTCGAGCACCGTCACTCTTTGATATGGGCAGAAGCAGGCATGGTGTAGCTGAGGCTTTATGAGATGCTAACTGGGCAGCAGCTTGGCCGACAAGCCTTGTAGATTGTAGGTTCCATCACGGTCCACGGTTCTTGGGAGGTTTTTTAGTCGCATTTTGATGTAAAGTCACGTCGCAGCCGTGTGTACTTGGGGCGAAAGTTCCATGAAACAGGCTCACCTTTTGAGGGTTCCGGCGCGATCCAGAAATGGCCGCGACTCAGGAAACCAGGGTTCAGGAAACCAGCCAGACAGTTCAAAACAAGGAAACTGCCCGATTCAGGAAGCTGCCTTCATGCGATTCAGGACACCACGCGATTCAAGAAACTGAGTACACGCGATTCAGAGTACCACTCGGCGGGGGGTAAGGGGGTGGCGGCGGGGGGGGGGGGATGATAACGTTCATGTTGAGCCTGCTTTCAGAAATTTTCGCAGTTTCTCGAATCTCGAATCCACGGGTTCCAGTTTCCCGAATCAGCGATTTCCGAATCCGCGCTTTCCGAATCTCCGCGGGTTCCAGTTTCCTGAAGCAGCTTGAATCCCCGGTTTCCGAATCGGCGTTTTCCAGTTTCCTGAATCAGCGGTTTTCTCGAATCCTGGTTTCCCGAATCCGTGCTTTCAGTTTCCCGAATCCGCTGCTGACCCCTGTCGAGTTTGTGCAGTTGTACTTTGATGTGCCATCAATCTGGTCTTGGGATTGTGTAGCAACATCAAGACTCGCATGAGCATTAGCTTAGTAGCTTGAGGCAATACCAGTACTGGGGGGCTTTAACTCGCATCGCTCGGTGTAAATACACATCGATCGGCATCCACACTGGGGTCTTGCGCCGGACTCAGCACTGACCCTCCGCCTGCACTGCGCAGCGCATCGCTCATTTCACGATCAACCGACACCGGCGTGGCAGTGCTTGTCCGTGGCGACTTGGTGTTAAAGCGTCATGAATTCCAACATATTCCAAATCAGGCCGCCTGACATGACTTTTCGCTTCACCGTGTGTACATGGGTTCATGTGACTTCAAACCCAGTGATGTGAATAAACCACGCCTCTAATAGTAGCTCGGTCAAGATCGACTGGCAGTACTCGATTCGCTAAAATGACGTGAAATGCCGTTCAAGTAAACCATGAAACTGAAAAGCTTTTTTCAAAAAAGCCAAGCGAAGACCACGTGACATGTATTGTTCGGTGATGTTCGGTGCATGGCCTTTGAGGTCGCCGTTTGGATCGCAAAGCAAGGAGATCGCTTGGCATTTTCGCGTCACTTTAAAGCTTGGAGAATTGACATGACGACTCAGCTGGACAGGAGACGACCTGCAAACGCATTGTTCACGTGGATCTCCTGTTCCCATCAGAGATGGATCAGGACGGCCAGGAACCAAGAGCTCTTGCAAATGCAGTTGGCACAAGGGTGAGTCAGGGTGCATGGCAGTGCATCGCATGCATATACTGCATGGAGCAGACGTTCAGACATGACATGACTGCCATGCCGTGTGCTTGGTCAAAGACCCATGGCCTACTGCATAGATGCCAACAATCCCTTCTCCCTTGTATTAAACATACCTCTAACTATGATTATAAACACACTTTCCGGAAAATCCTGCCGAAACCGACTCCGCCTTTTTAAACGCTGTCCCGAATTGGGGGGGTGGGTTGAGGGCTCCCAAAACCCTCAAACCAACCAACATCCTGAAGCTACCTTCCCTCCCCTCCCTCCCAGCCCTCCCTTCCCTCCCAGTCATTTCGCAGCACTTAACTGCCTGTGAGCTGTCTGTGAGCCTGGCTCTCCACAGCTTACCTCACTGTTCATACGATCTAGTGACAGATCTTGCTTGCCTGTATGTCAAGGATTAAGGGAGTAGAAGGACCCTGCCCATGCTTGGTGTTTGTTGCCTTCCATGCTCGAAGGGTTGTACAAGGGTCTTCGAAGGGCTTTAGGCAGGAAAGACTGGCTGGCTGCCTCTCTAGTGACTCTAGTGGAGGCACAAAGTGAGAAAGCTGGAAGGCGGGCCAGCCTGCCTGGCTCTCTGCTAAAAAGGCTTCCCAGCGAACCCCGCACCTCTCTGCCCCCCCTCTCTCTCTCTCTCTCTCTCTCTCTCTCTCTCAGTTTACACCCTCATTAAGTACTTAAATCCTCCAGACCCTGAAGCGTAGACCCTCAACCCTTTGCACCCAAAAACATGGCATTTGGCTAAAACATCCCCCTAATCATTAAAGCACATTTCGAGTTTCTATGGGGGGGGGGGAGGGGTGCCCCACCCGGGGAAGTGCTCGGTCAGGTGAGCTCCCCTGGACATGAGTGTCATGAGGATTGGATAGGCTTGGCACATTTTGTGATAGAATGAGTGGAGATGACAATGGAAGGCTTCAGAAAAGATGTCCGGCCTCAGCTGGCTTCCGGCCGGGCCATACAATGCCCCTTGAGCCCCTGACTGACTGGCCTTCCTTCTGGATTCTGAAGGTGTCGGCATGGGCAGGCGGAACTTACGAACACGCGAGAGGTTTGGGATGGTTTGGGTCAAGATGGACCAAGTATATTTGTTGGCTGGAGTTTTGATGACAAGGGTCGGGCGGCCTTTCGAAAGGGTTTTGCCCAACCCAACTTTGCTGGTGGGTCGGCAAGTCCACAGCTCGTGTGAGGTCGGGACCTCATAGCGAAGCTCTGCAGGCAGGAATGTGACTCATCTTCCTGTAGCGTCGCTGTGACAGGGGCTGGAAACAGGAGAGTCCATGACACAGATATATATATATATATATATGTATGTATGTATATAGATAGATCTATATATATATATATGCGGCCTGTGACCGTCAGGAAGAACCCAGCTGAGCGCCTAAAAGTTCGAGAAGCCATGGCCCACGAGTTCATTGCAAGGTCCATTGCTGAGATCTTATAGCGGTCTACAGTAGATTCGCAGATGTTGCACTGTTCCTGCAAACTAGCAAGCACGTGTGCCACACAACGCGGGAGTCAGGATGTGCTTTTTCGACCTCGGTCGTGTGTTTAGCTTGGTGTGGTGTGACGAATCGGCACATTCAGTTCGCGTATGCATGAAGTGCATTGTGAAAACAAAGACACAGAGGCAGCAAATGGCTAGATCTTTTCCAGCATTTGCCTTCCAGGTCTGGCGATTCTTTCGCAGGCCTGGGCTGGAAGAGTTGGAAGAGGATTGTGAAGGTTTCAGGCGGTTCAAAGCATGTAGCTTGAATTGAGGTTAGTGGGCCTTTGGGTGAGAAGGAGTGTTGAAGTCAAAGGCTTCAGTGCGAGAATATGCAAGAAAATGAGCTGTTGCGATCAGCGCTGTGAAGGTGACTCTGCAGCAGCCCGCGGTGGATATCCGCCAGGCACGCAGGGAGTCCATGATTCCATGCATTCACTGGTCACGCCCATGGCCACATTGACTGGGTTTTGTGGCTTTTATTGTTGCCAAAGGAAGACAGCTACATAGCTGGCTTTGGGCCATTGGGGCTGCAGTGATTTTCTTCGGTTGCACAAAAGCAGCCGGAAGAGGAAGGCAGTCAGAACCAGAGACATCCGAGATAGGGGGGAGCTTGGTTGTAATTGGCTGTAGACACTTTCAAAATCGCGCTGCTCTCGGGCTCCTTGAGCCCCAGATGGACCCATGGTTTGGATCCGTAGTCTGAGCTATGAGAGGTTATCTCGAGGCAGGCAAGGGCACCCAAAGGGCAGCCAAATGCCCTAAGGAAGCGCCTGGCACTGGAGGCCGTCTAATTGGGGCTCTCGAGAGGCTTCAATTGTGAGGACTCGAAACAAGGGGCCCAGAGCCTCGAGGAAGGAAACAACGAATCACGAGGATCCTGCTCCCGCAGGCTACGGAAGCAGTTAGTGCCTCTGCCGGCAGTGGAAGCGTGTTAGTGCTACAAAGCAGGCATCTATGTACACCCCTATAGGGGTGTACCAAAAAATGTACCTTCTACTGGTGCTTACGTTGGCTGTGTTCTGCTGCTGAAAACGGCATTGGGTTCAGCTGAGCCACTAGGCGTAGCTATGCAACAGCAAGTTACCCTCCACACCTGTTGGAGGCATTTGGAGGCTTTGCCTTGTCCCCGTCTTCCAGTTTTGTCTTTCAGATATTCTTTTTCGCTTTTCGGTTTCGGTTGGAACTGGATACATTGAGTTTCAAAACATGCCCTCTCTGTACTTTCCCCTCAAGGAATCTTGTGCGGCTCATTTGAGATAGTTGAGATAATATGCAGGAAGGTCGCAGTTGACGTTGCAGGACCTTTTCTGGTAATTCCTCAGCGGCGGGTATGTTGACCCTTGTAGCCCCCTTTCTCGTGTAGTGGACCCTAGTCATCAGCCAGTCATCTTTCAAGGGGCCGGGATGGGGTTGAGGTGCATTGGGGTAGGGCCTGGAGATACATGCACTCGTAATCACTCGTAGTACCCATGCTTGCACAACCCAAATCTGCACGCCTGCAAGCGTTCGCGTTAGCATGGGTCTTGGGCAACGATTGGTTCGAGCATCGCCACCCGTTCGGCCATTTCGGAGGTCCTGAAAAAGGGATCACTGCTGCAGGCAAGTGCTGAGTTGGGTGGGGAGCTGGGGCGCAAGTCGTAATTAATTCTTTGCCCATACGGTTAGTTTACACATTCACATGTGTAGGAGTGCTACCACACACGACTTATTATTTCCGATTCATACTAAGACTTGGTTGCAAGCCGGAATGCCCGATGCTGCAACAGAGGTGTTGATTGATTCAACATGGGTTGCTGCGTATAGTTGAGCCGAGCAGCAGAGATCCAACGCAGGATCATGAATCTTCACAGTGTTGCTGGACAGGAGAGGGTTTGTCTCTTTCGGATGTTCGCGAGTCTTGCGTAGTCTCGATCCCCACAGCACTGCAAACTTCCCAAGCCAGGACCCAAGAAGGAACACTACAACCTGTTTTGGCCACTAAGACTTGGAAGTACTTCTTGTTCGTTTGCGGCGTTTCGCATGTGACAGATCAAAACCAGTTTCAAGTTTGCTGGGTTGTCTCGTCGCAACAAGAAAGAACATCGACCGCTGGCGTGCGTTTCTCACGCAGGCGATGAAGACCTTCCCCGACCATCTGTGGTAGCCCGAAAGCTCCGATCGGAATGCGAGAAGCTGGGCGGTGAGAAGGTGCGAACTGGAGCGACTCTACGGGAGATTTGTGAGAGTTCATGTGGCCAGGAGCATCTTATGCAGGCGATTCAGAACATGGAGGCCGAGCTTCAACAACATGCATGTGCATATATGTGCACCATCCTTCTCACATTTACGGGGCTACGACATCTCCAAGGCCATATTAGACGAGGTTCGCAAGATCCAGCAACGTTCTCCACTCAGCATTTCAGGATCAAATACAGAAGCAGAAAGATCTTCTACGTGATGCCGAGGCCCAGGATTGCATCATGTTGCATGTTTACAAAGTCTACGTCTTGTAATGTAGAGGATTTGGTACGTGCACAGTGAGGAATCATGTTGCAGTGTTCTCAAATTCCCAACCGTCCACATGATCCATGCCACTGCATCAGTGGTGCTGCGCGCCATTTACCTCTTCTATCCTCTTCTCATTCTGCACGGCACCTTTAAGTGGAACAAGCAGTAAGAAGCGAAGCCAAATCTAGTTGACGGTTTTGGAGGCTGGGGGGGAGGGAAGTGTCCAGGAAGATTATGTAGTTTGAAGTGGAAGAGGTTGGTGACTACTGTTGTCGGTATTGTCATGTTTGTTCTGGGGGCGCGTTTTGTCTTGTGTGGCATGCCTCTATCACCTTACAACTTGGCTCTTGCCAAGGACTTCCCGGTATACAGAAGGATTTGGTCATCTGCATTTGCAGCATTGTGTTGCGCATGTCGTGCACACTTCCAAGAGCCATGCGGCCATCATGATAGGTCAACTTCCAAGAGCCGGCCCACCACAACGGTAGGTACGCCTCTAAGATCCAGTAGGTCATAACGGTAGGCACAGATCCAAGAACCAGGCGAACACGACGTAGGCACACGCCCAAAACCAGCTGACCATGACGTACACTCCCAAAAGCCAAGGGACCAGACGTTACATGCAGTTCCATGAGCCATGCGGCCATGCGGAGGTAAAGTACATGCACTTCTCAGAACCACGTGGCCATGAGGACGTAAAGCTTCTAAGAACCCAGTCCACCACGAATAGGTACGCATCCAAGATTCAGTGGGTCATGCGTTCCAACAATGGTCACTTTCAAGAACCAGGCCACCACGATGGTAAGGGCGCCTCCATGTTGGGTCACAACAGTAGGTGCAGGTCCAAGAACCAGGTGACCACGATTATAGGTAGGTGCCAAAGATCCAGATGACCTCGACGACGAAGCTTACAAGCCCGAGGCGAACAGATGCTACACACACTTCTAAGAGCCAGGCGGCCACGACGGTGTAAAACTTCCAAGACTGCAGATAGACTTCCAAGAGCCGGTAGGTACACTTCTAAAGAGCTAAGCAAGGCGACCACCGCAGCGGTAAAATTTCAAAGACGACAACGGGTACACTTAAGAGATTTAAGTGAGATTTATGACCGCAGCGGTGAGTACACTTCCGAGACTTTTCCAAGACTTCTGTCAGCCCAGGCGGCGGCAACTGTAGGTTTAATTTACCAGGACGACGGTAGTTAGACTTCCAAGAGCGCTGACGCGCCAGGCCCACTTCCAAAAACCTGGCGACCAGACGCTACACACACTTTTAAGAACCAGGCCGCCGCGACGGTAGATATAATTTTCAAAACGACGGCAGGTACACTTCCAAGAACCATAACCACAACGGTAGGTGCCCTTGCAAGAATCCGGTGTGCATACTTTTCCAAGAATCAGGTAGTCGTGACGGTAGGTAGAACTTCCAGGACGACAACCAAACCGCAACAGTAGGCACAGACTTCCAAGAGCTGGGCGGCCACGACGGTAGGTAGCTTCAAAGGTGGCATTAGCCACTGAGCTACTGAATTCGTTGCAGCTCGATGTAGTACTTCATCTCTTTATGCTGAAAGTCCTTGCATGTCTTGTCTGGTTTGCCCCGCCTGTACCGAAAATCGCCGCTTTCATATTCGGACGCTTCCGGATGTTCCTTCTTTCATATTCGGACATTTAAGAATGTTGGCGTCTTCGGGCTGATTCGCTTCACATTCCAGGATACTTCCGCCTTTCTTGTTAGGGTTGTCTCTTTTTCCTCTTCGTCTTTTCATATTCGGGGATTTCGGGATTTGCCCTTGTTCTTCCCGATTCGCTTCATATTCTATTATTTCTGGACGTTTCCGACTTTCACGAACGGACATTCCTGAATTTCCCCGTCTTCTTTTCCATCATTTCCGGATTTCTGTCTTCCCGTTTTTGGCCGGCTGCAAAGAGTTGATCCAACCCCCCTTTCTTTAGATACTAAAACCCGACAGTATGTGCTGTTGGGAATTTCGTTCGGGGATTCGGTATTGAAGTTACATACGGATTCTTATTTTAAGAAACCGACAAAATGCACTCCTCAGTAATGGCACACATCCTCGCTCATTCATCACGCTGCCAGTTTTCCCCGAAAACGCTCGATTTTGTACAGCCTTGCAACTACCGCCACCATGCGCCACCCCTGGACAATGCAGAATGTGGCTCTGGATCTTTCACTTTTCTGCAGTGAGCCAAGTATGATGTTCACATTTGCACACACAAGTTGTGCAGGCTGCAATCCAGAAAGTGCGGACGGAAAGACGGGAAACAGAGGCTGCAGCATGGTCTGAACGGCTGCATCAGAATGATGTACGTAGGTGTTTTGATGCAATCACATTGTGATGTCTTTGCGTGACTTCGGCTGTTCGTGCGCGGTATGGTTCGGTGGGAGCTCATTGTCCCTCAGAAAACGGAAGGGAAGTATGCAGTACTGTGAAGACTTGCTTGGTGCACTCTTCTAACTTGTAACGATGCTTCTGAAGCTGTGCAATACCCGAAAAGCCATCCTTCATCTGATGTTTTGAGAGGCACTGAGACAAGAGCAAATCAAACGGTGTGACGAGCTGTCACGCAAGATCGAGGACTGGGAGTGTCTAGGCTCAGGAGTGTCTCCATGAGCCAGGAATGTAACAGCGTGTAACAGCGAAAGCTCTCCTTTCTTTACAACACGGCATCCAAAGTTCCAGAATGCTGCAAGTTGTTACAGTTTGTAATGCTCCGAGAATCAAATCGTGTCTTGCCTTCCCCGCACCACAACGTCACCTTCGCATCCACACCATCCACAACACCCTCGCCTGCAACTACTGTCAAGTTTGACAGTTTAGTACTTTGCAAAAACTCACGAACTGTGTTCTCGAATGCTGACATACTGACATAATATTGGTAGGAGTTCATGGGGGCCGGTTTCGTGGTAGGATGCAGTATGCATTCGTATGCTGTAGTGGAGGACAAGCGAAGGAAGGAAGGCCGCAGCAGCCGCACAGGGGTACGGGCCCTGCTGGATACTGCTTGCTTGTTTCTGATGCATCAGTGGCCTTTTTGTTTTCCAGGGATTCCTAGGCCAGCCAGGCTTTCTGGAGGATTTCCCTGTCGTGGCCAGCAGTCTAGACGGAGAGCAATTTGGAGCTGAACGCTGCTGCTAACAAACCATGGCCCCAGCGACATGTGGGAAGCCACACCCATGTAGACCTTGGTTCGTTGGTTTCCAGCAGGGTCAGCCACCTGTGAGATCTGTAAATGGTGTGTATGTGGCGAATCCATGCGAATCCGAACCGCGAGCTGATCTGAGACGTCTTGGGCAAGCTGCTGCTATCTATTGCTCATCATGCAAATCCCAGGCTTGGGGAATCTTCGGCCGCAGCAAGACCACGCGCCTGAATTGAGGCGTTGCCACAGCATGCGGGTTAAACTTAGTTGAGTTTGAACTGGCTGGTCGCAGCATTCCTCTTCTAACGTTGCTGTGCTTCGTTGTGTTTACTGTTGTTGTTGTTGTTCCTATGTCCTAGTTCCCCTGCCCTTCAGGCTGCCGTGGAATGTGTGGACGGTCAGGGGTCCGAGCCAAGATAGCCAAGCACGCTAACATCGAAGACAAGTTGAGACTGGACAAGCCTAGGCAAGACGTATCTAGAAGTATCTAGGCGTCCTCACCCTTCCTCACCTGATTTACTCGCTGTGCGTTCTTTCGCAGGCATGTTCGCCGTAGCTGACCTGCAAAGGCTGAGCCGCTTCTTGGGCAGTTTGGCATTCTCACCTGCAGTCTCACTTGCAGCAAAAATGCAAAAGGAGAGAATTACCTTACCGCTCTGTCACGAGACACCGCAGCGCGATCGACCATGCTGTGGAGGGGTGAGAGGAGTGATGTGTGCGGATTCGGTTTCATGTACCTCAGGAAGCTATAGACTCAGGCCAGCGCAGACCTACACTACTCAGCATGCTTTCTGGTGAGCAAAGCTTCTGCTACATGTAAACTCGACACCATCGAGGCAAGCATGTCGATCACCGGAGCACTCCCTTCGCGACTCGAATGCAACAAGAATTCTGGAATGCCCGCCAGCTGCATGAACAGATCGTGGTGTGGGTGTTCATTCGGGTTTCTTGCGTGAAGCTGATGCAAGCCCGATCCCCCCTTCCCGATGAAAGACTCCCGAGCGTGCTTTTGTGAGTGTGTTTGCAACCACCCTACAAACCCTAAACAGGTTTCAGAAGGTTTGATAACTTCTTCCCCACGCTGATAGCATGCCACGAACCTTAGACTCTTCAGAGTCTACTCTTGCGGCAGATTCAGAACCTCAAACACCTCAAACCTTCAACCAAACCCAAAGGGCTCCTCTTCGCTTGGGGCTGTGTGCCCGCAGGGGCCCCAGGGCGCAAATGCAGGATTATAGGTACCGCAAATAAGGCTATAACCAGTTATAGCCATCGTTACCCCTTAAACCCTAAACCCTAAACCCTAAACCCTCAACCCTAAACCCTAAACCCTAAACCCTAGCCATGAGCCTCCAAGTAGAGCATGGAGGCTCGCACGAGCTGATCGTGGGCAATCCGAGTTTAGAGCCTTCCTTAGCCTATTGTGGAACTTGAATTGTTTTGGTTGCCAAGCACTCATCGAACAATCACTCAGATCACTGCCAGTACTCCGCCCAGAACTCGACATTCCATAGTAGGCAAATTGAATCCACACGTGACGTGTTGTGATTTGCTGCGATGTTTTGCTCAAGCCTGAGCGTTGGTTTGAGAATGTTTGCAACTCTTGGTGGCTTTTCTATTCGTGGAGCGTGCCCCCACCTACACCCTTGCATGCTGTCAATCTGCAAAAAGGCTCCCCAAACAGCTGCACCATGCTCTCACTGGCCAAGAGCACACTGAGCTTACGCGGCGCTTCCAAGGTGGGGATGCTTGAGATATCTTGAGATTTTGGTTTATGTTCACCAACATTCGCCATGTGCGTGTGTGTGTGTGTATCTATGTGTCTGTGTCTCTGTGTGTGT